TGGTGATTCGCAAATCGCATTATCCACCTCCATTGCTAAATCCTAGATCCGCCACTGCACAGGCCTTAGAATTATACGGTTAATTTTGTTTTTACACTGTAGGTATAAGAAAAGACTAACATATAATGGAAATTCTTTGTAATATTTTTTAATACAATAAATTACACTCAAGTAGATAATAATCTCATATCACCTATCATTTAATTATCGAGCCCTCCCACACTCTTAATCTTCGCGTCTCCCATCAGTTCCCACCCGTTTACGTAGGTACATCCTGCAAAGGACCTAATGGACCGTAACACGGCTGTATGGATCAGTACATCAGGGTAACCCCCTACTCTTCTCAAAAAGTTTAGTTTCACTGAGTAATTGGCTGATTGTTTAAATCACCCAACATGTTGAATGATTTGGGGTGGGGTGGGGGAAGCTGAAGTAGGTTGGGGAGCTTGACTTAGTGGGGGTAACTACCTGCTCGCAAAATAAGCTGATTGTAGGTGATTTTTATCTACTTGAGTGTAATTCGGGGGATTCAAGTTCGCTTATCTTCACTTTGGTGGGTGAAAGCCAATCAAGTTTCCTACACGTTAGTATTTACAAAAATGTTTACTGTATTATTGTCAATTATTTTAATTTGTCTAAAAATCCAGATTTCTTACTATATTTATTATAATTATTTATTATTATAATCATATAATTATCAACATTAACTACTGTTTGGTATACAAATTTCACCAACAAAATTATCAAAGTTAAAATTGTATCCTACAAATTGACATTTCTCTTGTACTGAACTCCAGAGTTGGTTCACCTTTCTCAAAGAGGTTTCTGCAAAAGCCCTCTGGAGCAGGACAACGCAAGCACAAAGATGCATTAATTCCAGATCTATGTTTTCATAACTAGCTGCATCAATGAATCCGTTTTCTAGAGTAAGTTTATCAAACTTCTTGCAGCTTAGAAACTCTTCAAGCCTTGCTATTAACTTGGACTGATAGAGGGCGCTATTTAGCTTAGATTTTACATGTGTGTGTAGATCAGCATGATTTGTAAAACTTTTCAGCAAGATCTTTAATAACGCGACTTCTTCATGGTTTGTGTTGGCTTCTCCTCTGTCAAAAAGTTTATCATCTTCAACCTGTTAACAAAAAAATTGTTGAAATACAGTAGTATTAAAAAAAAACCTACTAAAATGAACAAAATGATTGGAGATATGTCAAGTCAGTGCCTGTCCTCTATGACTTATGGAAGCCATACAGAGCTCTACATCATTGCTGCTGTCTTAACAAAAATCTGATACTGTATCTTTCATGCTTTTAGTAATATCTGATCAAACAAATTATAATGATAGTTTTGTCTTCATACAAGTAAATAATAAAGCTCTGTCCAGACTACCAAATTTTATTTGACAAGAAACTGTTGTATGCCCATATATGGTAATGATGTGCCTATATATGGTGATATACTGTGATGCCATCAACCATATTTAGGCATGTCACATGTTATTGTCAAATAAAATTCGATAGTTTTCACAGAGCCTTAGTTTCTAGTCTCCTACGGCTATTGGATGTTGGACAAGCTCTAGTTGATAAGGTATGTCTGATAAACATTACCCTGAAGGCAAACGTTTGATAGTTCTTCAGACATATTTGATCAAACAAATCATACATCTGTCCATTACTTTGAAGTCTGGTAAGGTTCTGCTTCTTATCTGATTAAACACTAACAAACTGATAGATTATGTTTGGCTTAAGAGTTTATATTAATACAAGGACAATAAAAACCTCTTCAAGAATGAAGTCTTCTGGTTCTCCCATCACATAGCTGAAGCTGTCTCTTATACACATCTAGATGTGTATAAGAGACAGTGGTAATGATGTGCCTATATATGGTGATATACTGTGACGCCATCAACCATATTTAGGCATGTCACATGTTATTGTCAAATAAAATTCAATAGTTTTTACAGAGCCTTAGTTTCTAGTCTCCTACGGCTATTGGACAAGCTCTAGTTGATAAGGTATGTTTGGCTTAAAAGTTTATATTAATACAAGGACAATAAAAACCTCTTCAAGAATGAAGTCTTCTGGTTCTCCCATCACATAGCTGAAGATCATCTTGTAAAAGCAACATGTATTCTTTGAGTGATGTATGTCAATCATCATATCAACAGCTAGCTGGAGGCCCAAGCGTGCATGCACGTCCCAATAAAACTGACCTACAGCAAAATGCAAAATCCGATCATTGAATTAAAGTTGTTTGTTTTAAGGAATTTGGCACAGATGAAGTGAGCATAAAATGTGGATTCATGAAAGTGATAAAGGAATGAGGATGCATATGTCTTTGCTAATGTGATCATGGGGTGTCTAAAACAGATGGTTCTATTATTTTGAAGGTGTTTTTTAATTAAAGAAACAATGGAAATTATGAGGTTATCCAGGTAAATATTAATAAAAAAAATTGATTGCACAAGATTCTGACAATTTATTTCTACAATTTAAAGAAGCTGATTGAATACAGGCAACACTTCACGAGTCTACCGTGTGCCTGTTTAATTCATGTGTAAAGCGAAGCAATCCAGATGAAGTGCCTGGCCAGTCACAGCCTTAAAATAATTTTTTAATCAAGAACACCAGATCAATTCCATGACAGCATAACAGCAACAGAATATTCAATTATGAAAGAACGCTGATGACTTACTATCGGAAAATAAAGAAGGCGTGTGTTCTGCAACAGTACGGACACAATTTGTCATTGATGACCTAATATCAGAGTCACTATCCTGCAGTAATCGCAACACAACACTCCAAGCGGCCACTGACACTTCACCTGTGAAAGTGAATAAAATACACAAAAAACCATTTCAAACATTAAAATGATTAAAAAATGAATGATTCACTAATTTCTTCCCTGCTCAGTAAAACCGGCATGGTTAAACCTCCTCGTTATTTATCAGCTAAAATAACTGCACAGTTAGCATAACCATGGGAAATGTTTCCCAGGCAGTCCACACTGGATAAAATTTACTATAGCGAGATGCTATTAGGTCTAATATAAAATAGTTTTTTCATGGTTTACTGGTCAGGGTGTCCAGTTCCAGCATCCTAGGTTCAATCACTGAAAATATCAGGATTGTTAGTCTGACCAAGTTAAGTACTGTACAGGTAAGTATAAGAATATTTTACCCAGATGATTTTTATGATCAATGAGGACATAGAGGGCAGTTTTGTTGAGTGTCTGCGCTATTCTGAGTCTCAACTGAGTTGTATGTTCTGCATAACTGCTCTTGTCCATCAACTCAATAACATATTTGATAAAATCTCTTCCAGGTTTATCTTCCACATCCTGAGGAGTAAAACAAAATGTAATATCCTTTAACTATAACATGTGGATTGCATGAATAAATTACACAGGAGCCACCAAAAAATTAATGTATAAATTGCTAATGCAAGTATATTACCTCTGTCATTGATTCATATACAAATGGAATCAAAACACTTGAGAGAGCAAGGACGCCACCAACCAGATCATCTCTAAATGAAAGAAACAGATTTGTATAAAAAGGGTCATTTCTACTAGATTAAGTAGCATTATCAGAAATAGTAGCACTGCTACCAGACTTAGTAGCAATGTCACAAGACTTAGTAGCATTACTATCAAACTTTTAGTAGCACTGTTACCCGACCTAGTAGCATTACTACCAGTCTTAGCTGCACTATTACCAGATTTATAGCAATGCAACAACACTTAGTACTATCGCTGTTACCAGACTTACCTAACACTGTCCCCACCAATTAAGGTCAGAATGAAATCCCCGGCTTGCGTGCATGTTAGCTGACGACCATCACCAAGACTCCATGGAAAACAACGTGCCACCGGATGACGACTAAGCACTTCTAGTAACTGAAACATATGAGCAATAAAGTGAGACCACAGTGATGACTACATTAATAATGATAATAATTTTTAAGAAAGTTTATGTCTGCATCTGCTATTTCCACCTTCTTGATGAGTTTTTTAAACAGTCTAAAGTCTATATTAGTCATGTATTATATAGCCAAACTTTCGAACAGAAAGTAAAATAAAGACGAATTTAAGAGCAGCAAAAATACATTTACACTAATAGGATCAGAAATGTTTGTATTCATTACAACATCTTAAGTGTAAAGAAAAAAGAATACAGATATCCTGAGGTTAATATACCTTTGCTTAATAGCCTACTGTATGCATGTTAAAGTTAATTCTAAATAGATATTAAAATGCATAGTATTTTCTTAACTTGTTTGTGTGCACATTACCCGTAACTTCCCCCCACCTCCACCCTCCACAAGGAATTCCTTAATGACACAAGCACAGTCACCAGCAAATGACTCAAACCCACAATCCTGAGATTAAAAGGCAAAACATCACATGACAATACATTGCACAGGTACACACATTAAGCTTTTCAGAATTATTTGCTGCACAATGTCACTTGAAAAGAATTAAACCCAGGACCCTGGAAGTGGAGGGTAAAAATCATACCTGTAGCTCCAATAACCTGCAGTAGCAATATAAAAGTGATTACCTTGACTTTACAATCATGATGCGTTTCTGAAGCTAACATAAAGCCTAGCTGCTTGAATATGTCCTTACTCTTGCAGACATTCTGGAAGCATGTCCTTTCATGTCCCTGGTGTGAATCATGCTTTAATTCTACAAGGATATGTTCCAACACAAGGAGTCTGACTTCGTAGAGATTAGAGGACAAATGTTGAATCACTGTTCCTGCACAAGAGCTGCCATTCAAGGTGCAACAGACAGTTTTACTGTCTGACAACAATTTATCGCTTTCAGGTGGATCTACTTCTTGAGATGCTTGAATATCCTTTTCATATAAATGTTTTCTGAATTTTGTGGTAAAATTTGATTTACAGCTATAAAAGTGGGTGTTTGTGATTGCTTGCATTAATGCCACATGATCCAATGATACCACATCAGGAGGAGGAGAGCCATCATGAGAAGCTGCTCTGATAACATCCTCCTGCAATTCTTTAAGGTCAGCCTGATGAACTAGTCCAGGGAAGTGCGTTTGTAGCCATGATGAATCCATCACAAATGTGTTGAGGATGTTTAAGAACTCTGCTCGTGTAACAGCGCATTGATTTGAACTAGAGAGAGAAATAAAAACAATTGTTTATAAATACTCTGGGGCGGATACACGATTTGGCGGAAGGGTGTTTGTGAGAGTCCACAGAACCTAAGGTTGGGGCTGAGGATATGTACCTCAGGGTGCCTGGAAATTGCACTCTCATACTTTAACAATCTTAACGGTAATGTTCATAATGAGAGACAGGTAATGTTCATAATGAGAAATATAATATTTTAACAATACAATACAACATTTATTTTTCTCAAAACAATTTAGGGGTGCGATCACACCGTCGGCACCCCCTGTGTTTCCGCTCCAGATACTGGGTAACTTTTTTCAGTATTAATATTCTGCTCTCCTACAGTATGAGGCTTAATCCAAGTTCTCACTGCACTAGACGGTAGTCAGCTGATGCGATTCTTTAGAGAAAGCATGCGCATGCAACAAATCATTTTTAATTACAATCTGTTCAGACTTCCAACGACAACTCAAGCTTAGGTGTGAGAGTTACCTGGTGGCTAACCACATGCAATTCTTGAATGATGCAACAGCCTGTTGAAGCAGACTGTGTTGCCGGGCACCAAACGACTGCTGACTTCCCTTCAGATGGTTCTGTAGGAGCATATGTACCTGAAAAAAAAAAAAACCAGAAGAAACAGTTATTGAAAAAACTAAAATATATTAAAGATCGATATCAATAATTTCATTGTAATTAGACAGCTACTTAATAATGTTATACATTTTTTCAAAAACCCATATTTCCTCTTATTATAATGAACAAAATTAAAGTTCATCCTACAATTAAAGACCATGTTTAGGACCTTCAAATTATGGGTATTCTTGGTCTCCAGTTAAAGGGTTATCTGATCGATCGATGATTGTTATTTGGTTGTTAGAAAAAGTGGTCTCGAATTAGAGGGGTCTCGGAACTAGAGGGGGATCTTGAATTGGAGGTGCACTGTATAATATTGTCTTCATAAGTATTAGATTTTATTATTTTTAAACTTTTTAAACAAGCATTGACGTAGATGTGTTTTAGGGTAATCTGTTAAATTAAGCTGATCATTAACCACTCTGCCACATCTCCACTTCTAACACCTATGATATATAAAAATGAATAATATAAATGCTATAAATAAAGTATATGAAAAAAAAACTTTCACACCTGCAAAAGTACTCCATGGATCTCATTTTGGTGATGCTTCTGTGTGTGGCATTTTGGTAGGGAGTTGATGAGAAACTCCACCATCTTCAAGACCTCACCAGATGGAATCAAAGAAGCTAGAGATCTTGCTGCTATCGTTCGTGTCTTGTAAATAGCACTTGAACCACATCTTCAATGAAAAAGTTGTATGCATTTTAACGGTACGGCACTAGCCTGAATAGTGAGAGATTGCAGGTTTTGAATCCTGACTCTGACAATTGTTTTCTTTACATCATTGAAGAGCTATGGTTAATAAGAATATAAGCAAATAGTACAGCTCCGCATAGTAAACTATAGGAAAATTATTATACAAAGGTTAAATTTAATGCTCGAAAAAATTTCCTGAGGGCCTGCAAGTGCGTGCGTACATTTAGCTATGCGTATGCCGATTTGTGTTCCTGCAGTACGTGTTAACTATACATCAGCAGTACAGTAC